TCCAGGATCCAGGGGTGAAGATGAGGGTTGAATGCGAGTTTTTGAGCTGATGGCTGTATAACCTACCATGAATATGACTAATACAATCGCTGGCCGTCATGATGGTTGCCGTCTGTGTGTCTGCTATCACTACTGCTGCAGTCTTGGCACCACGACACCGAACATATTGATGGTTACCGGATTTAAGAGCACAAGATAAGTTCGGATGCCTGGCCAAGGAAAGGATGCAATTCGAGCCACAAGTTGGCAGCAGGGCACGTTTCTCAAGGCACCGCTTAGGGTATATGGTGTAGTAGGGTTGGCTTTTAGGCACCTGGGCAAGGAGACAACTCACAGCCGGGACCTGTTCTGTGGTCGTTGTTCCCCCTTTGGGGAACCGAAATGCGAATCATGATTGTTTCGAGGGTTTCGGCGGAAATTGTTCGGGATCTGGGCGTGGAGCCCTTTCAGCGGCACAAGCAAGCCCCCTCAAAAAACTAAGTGGCTTGCCTGGGGTGTCACAGGAGCTTCGGCGATAGAATTCTCGGCGACAGCGATCTTGTCGCGGGCCAACCTGCCGTTGCTCACGGGCCTCAACGCCCTGGAGCGCTCCCAATTGCCGAGAAACCCTAAACCCTAAACCCGGAACTTTAGGGTTGTTTTTTTAAAGTGTAATGCACCTGAAGTTGCGGGTTTAGGGTTCGGTAGTTTACGTTAACTGCTTCGCGAGTAAGTTGTTTTGAAGGCTGCTGCGATCACACGCTGCATGCCGAAAGACACCCTGCCTAGATTAATTTAGGGGCCTTCCTACTACGAATAGGGTTTTGGGGCCCATTATACTTTTATTAATAGAAGGAACACCAAAATAGGATAGACAATTTTTTCAGGCGCCTATGTTAGACCTTCTCGCGCCAACCGTCTGGAGCCTTGTAAGCCGCAGGGCCATCAAAAACCATCCTAGGAGGAATCTCGGAGGACTCAGTCGATGCGGCGAATCTTTAGCAAGAAGGGGGCAGGGGGGGTCGTCATTGTAAGAACCTGAAGTATTTTGACCACGGCTCCTCTTCAAGGATTCCATACTTGCAAACGCCGTATGGCGGACAGGACCTTCACATAAGCATTCAACATGATTGTGGGAGCACATGATTTTTTGTCTACTGCATCGCTTACAGGGATTTGGGGTTTTGCAGCATCGAGGTGTTGGACGGTCGAAGCAATCAAGCGGGAAGGCTCGACAAGCGCCATTCCAAGATGTCCTTGAGCTTGAGCTTCATCTGACATGCAGACAATGCGCCGGAGGTGCATTTCCTACGTTGCATACAGTTGTTCTACTGATCCGTGTCTTCTTACTTGCACACTACCGCACCACACGGCATCCCGCTGCCTGCAAGTCCCTCAGGCTGTCCAGCGAAGCACGGCCCGCCGCATCGACAGAGCCCTGCATAGAGGCATACGGTCATTGACCGGAAACAAACCCGGAACGGGGACCGACACGCCCAAACAGCGGTCCTCAATCTCAAAACCTTTGACCCCTGAACCTGTCGAGACCTTAACCCATGGAGTTTTAGATAAGCGCCTCTTGATCACTTCATTTCACTACATTGCTACCAACAAAACTCCTGCAAGACTAATGCTATTTGTGTAATACATGATTACTTCTGCCGTCCAAGTGCTCTCCTGCATTCTGGTGGGGGCCCTGCCGTCTTCTGCTGCGCCAGGGCACCCTGAGCCTCGACAACGGCGGAGATGTACCTGTGATTCGGGCGTAACTGTTAACTGTCATTACTAGTCCAGCAATTCAGAACCTCTACTGACGCCCTGCTTTACCTCAACACATGGGACTCGACCAAAGTTCCAGAAGATATTCATATTGCAGGTCGTCTGTGGACGACCCTACAGGTTCCTACCGACACCGATCAAGAGTGTTTTAGGCTGGGCTGCGATGTGCGGAAAATGCAGAAAGCCAGGTAATACGCTGAGGTCTTCCTTGCGAAATCATGCAGGTAGACTGATGAAAGCATTTCCTCAAGCTGCAAATTTGGGTGCCTGAAGCACAGGTCCATCTAAATCACTGCTCCTGGTGGGCAACTGCGAAGATGAGAGACCCGCTTCCGCAGCACTGCTGCAATCCCCATGACTGTAGCACCGCTTTTGCTACTCTTAACACCAACACCACATGATAATCAAGGTCACCAGACCAACAACATCACCATCATCATCTTGGTATCTCGCAGAAGTAGGGTCTGACGCCTTCCAGACACGACAAACCTAAATTGCCAGACGCAGCCAATGCCTGAGGCACCAAGCCCTAACCGACAGCCCTGGATTCGTGATCAGGGTCGAGGCCTCAAGCGCGACGGTTTAAAATCAATTTCTGGCGCACTTCTCTCGCAGGGCCTTGCGCTTTTGAAGGTCCTCGGGCCCCATAGCTGCAAGCAAAGCTTCGGATTGCCAACAGGGGGGGACATGAATAAGGAAGTCCGGGGCGACATTTCGGACATTTCAACATATCTTCTTGAAA